AACATCTTCAGCAGCACCAACAACATCTTCAGCAGCACCAACAACATCTTCAGCAGCACCAACAACATCTTCAGCGGCACTAACAACATCTTCAGCAGCACCAACAGCATCTTCAGCAGCACCAACAACATCTTCAGCAGCACCAACAACAACTTCAGCAGCACCAACAGCATCTTCAGCAGCACCAACAACATCTTCAGCAGCACCAACATTATCTTCAGCGGCACCAACAACATCTTCAGCAGCACCAACAACATTTTCAGCAGCACCAACTACATCTTCAGCAGCACCAACAGCATCTTCAGTAGCACCAACATCAACAACACCAACAGCAACCGAATCACCTGAACCTTCAAATTCCCCTGGAACACTCACAACTACCAGTTCGACCTCAGCTTCCACAATGTTATCAGTTGTTGAGGTGTTAATTTTGGCAGCCTTGGCAATTCAGTGCTTTGCGTAAATTATTGCTGATCCTGCTGCGACACAGTGCCAATTATCTTTTCTTGCTTTTGTGTTTTAATGACTCTGATTTCTTTAGCATATCCTGTTTTCATGATGCGTAAATTTAAATAAAGTTGCTTAAGCAAACATTAAACCTCTTTTCCTCTTCAGTCAGGCAGATGGATATCTGCCCAAATTGGAAGATATTACGTTAACCAGGTTTAGACCTTCCTTAAAAACTCTCGCTTCACATAATATTAGTCTATGAATGTGGTAACGGCAATTATATCAAAGCACTTAAATTAAGTCAGGTAAATTGTAAATTCCATAATTTTGATCTGGGACACTATAATTATGACGCCTTTGACTAATGTTGGCTTTTCTGCAGTTAGCGAATAGTATTTGAATTGAGCCACTTTAATTCCACTATTAACTTGTCATGCTTTTAATGCGTTATTCAATATTCTTGATACATTTGATCGCAATCGGAATAATCTCATTGACAAATCATTGTAGTTATAGGTGTTGAGACGTAGTTATATACTTGTTTCATTTGAGACATTTGTAGCCCGATTTGTGTTGACACCTTTAAATTCAACCTCTATAATTGTTGGTAAAAACTGGATGATTCAATTAGATTTTTTGCACTAAAATCAATATACATCAGGCCATACCATTACTGTGATAAGCAATCTCTCTTTAGAGGCTCAATTATGTACCCTAAGCCGTAAGATGGTGCACCAAGCTTTCGACACTGTCATTGCTGGAGAATAGGTGTAGCGAATACTCCCAGACCATGTACAAACTTGATTTTGCCAATCACTAAAAAGGTTGTGCTGTTTCATGTCGACCAAACTGTATTCGTACAAACTCATGAAAGGCTAAAATTAGTAGTCACGGGAGTTCTAGAAACGTCATTAAGAACAATAGGAGCAGTTTGCCCTGAACGGATTTTATCCCCATCAGTAGCTACGAAAATCGGTTGTTTGATTTGAAGGCGTTCAGTCAGGTACTACGGAGTTATTAGAACTTTTTAGCCAGTCACAAGATGTCTTCGTTACCATGCATATGGGGTCCACCTTATGGATGTAAGGATGTAATCAATTATCCTTCGGTCCGTAATAGATGGAACGCTAATTGCTGATAGCCTATCACGCTCCCTTTCCAGCTCAAAGTCTCAGCGGATCATCAAGCTAAATAATCCTCGGGCGTAGTATACCTTCCGATATCAGAGGAACTACTTCAACTGTGCCAAACACACACACACTTAAACTATCATGTGAAACACTCAAGTGACGCCGTTGTAGTGAAGGGTGCTCATGTGACATGCCTCCTACATGGGCCACAAGTGACGCCATGGCTGTGCGTTACAGCGTGTAGTAGCGTTCCACACAATTACACAATAAAAGAAAATTTTGATTATATTGCACTAGCCAATCGAAAAAGGATTTCCGTTTTCACTGCTGGCCGGCAATCTTTGCATACACGGCACACGGTTTTGTCATTTAAAATTTGAAGAATTGGCCCACATTTTAGTCTGTTCTAAAACCAAATCGATATTTCTTCCTTCATTTGTAACCTTATCAATTTTGACCCCCAAAAGTGATTCTTTATTCAGGAATGTAACTGTCTAGTTAACAGTCATTTAAAACCGGGAACAGATATATGGCATGACATTAGAAACGCCACAGCAGCCACGTTTTTAGGTAGGCGAATGAGTGAGTTTATGACCGGTGAGTAGCAAAACAGCAACCTTATTAGTGGGGCTGAATCATAGACTGCATCAGGTCAGTTTAAAGGCTTCACTCACACGCATTCACTGACACTCTGACACGGAATCATTTTTCATTACATTGGTTTCTATTATCCGTAGCTGTTTTGCAGGCGCAATTGGCCGCACACAGCCATTCGTCTGATGTGACTATAATAAACGGATGTATTCACTGTTGCCTCTCCTTACGCCATTTTCGGTCTTTTGGCAACTGTTAACTTGACTGTCTTGCACAAGTAATGGCGCAGTATACTACTTAAATTCTGCGTATATTCACTGATTATTGCGCTGCTCTATAAAGATTTTGTGACAAAAGAAGTCAACATGTTTAAGAAAATGCCACCTTAAAGCCTCCATAATAATGTAAGCTACTTTATTCACACAAATGATTCGTTCAAGCAACTTCGACACATCCTTTTCAGAATTAAACTAGGTGACATGTCCCGGCACATTATCTTGGGCATCTGGACATCATATACAGTGATAATTATATAGACAATTTAATTTTACTTAACGCATGGTCTACATCGTCTCAAATAAATGCATGTACTTGGATTGATTTTAGATTTCCTATATGGTACTGTAGGAGCTCGCTGGCATGGCAATTGACATTCACGTGTAAATAACTCCTACCTGCTCGAAAGCAGCAGCTGGAATGATCAACTTTGGCGCCAACACGTAATCAGGCAACTTTGCTTATTAGGATTGGATGAATTCTATTCCAAACAGCCTTAACGAACTGATAGTTAGGCTTCCTGTTCACGTAAACTAGGACAACACAGTAAGTGACTTAGTGCCGCTAACGATATTGACACTTCTGCAGGCCTTTAAACCTTTCAGATGAGCATCGGTCGGCAGCAACAACGGACAAGCTACCGTGACGTTCGGAATTGGGACCAAATGTTGTGACCTATTTTTATTAAATACCACTGGTGTCATAGTTAGCACGATTGCTTGGGGCCTGACACACGCTGTCGGAAAATCTTTTGGTCTACATATTTAATGCCGCAGAAACCAACACGTTTGAAATGCAGTCAAATGGGACTTTTCCTAGACTTAGTCCTAAGATAACAGTAATCAGTTACCTCCACTGTGGTTGTTGTTAAGAACTCAGTTATTGCCCCCCGGTGCTCATCTTGAAGCATTTTAGTACAAAGTTAACTCGGCAAAAAACTCACTCATTTGAAATTAGTCGAATGGAACTTATCTTGGCATAGCGTAATGCAGCTCGTGCCCATTTTCGAATATGACCTTTTTCAGTACTCAACACAATCAAAAATTTGAAGGCGAACATGAATACGAAAATAATTGACGGATTGGTGCCAGCAGCAGTTTAAACCTACCGTAATTGTTTTAGTAAATCAAATATTTGGTTTGATACTGAAATGGTGGAGTAAACTTGGCTGTATATTTCTGAGGCAATGACAGTTTGGCCTCTTACGTGATTGTTTGACGTAAGCACTCTCAACCACACAGGCACCACTTCCAATGACTTCATCAAATTGGCTGATTGAGTGTGGGTGTGCTAGGTAAAGCCAAAATTGTGAGACTGATTTTATGAGCAGATCTCCCCACGATTACCGATGAAATGATATTTGCCTCAAAAAAATGCCAATCAAAAAAGCATTTTAGTTTGGTTTTTTTTTATTTTGATATAGAGAAAACTATTCACAACTTTACAAGGATAAAACGTAAATAAAAGGAGCTAGCTGTAGTGACAAATTACAGGCCAGAAACGGACATCATGCACACTCCATCAGCGTCATTC